CGTGCTCGACTCAACAATACGTCTCTCTGTCCGCAGTTCAATTCCCCATTACATTGTTGCCATCACGTCTTGACCATCTTATATGTACAAGAATACCGAATCTAGTAACCTCTCGAGGTTTCATGAAGCGTTCTAGAAGTGCATGACGTGTTACTAGCGTCGTAACAATAAATTACGCAGGTAATTTTAATGTAATTGATTAAAGGCCCGATAACAATATTTGATTTTTTAATTAAAACTATATATACGTATTGGAAAACAAAGGTTCAATTTATAATAAATATCTGTTCCTCCCCCTCCTGTATAGCTCCACAAGATATTTATCAGTTGGAAAAAAAGTTTCATCTTTTAAATTCCTAGCACTATTTAGTTAAATGCAGTCTGATGTTTTACATATGACGCAAGTGTAGCACTTGGTACACATTTGTTAATTTATTTTTTAGGTGTGAAATCAGTAAAATCTAACATGCACTTTAACAACTACCTCTGCTGATAGAACTTTTCTGAATGTTATTAGATTCTCTAAAAATGTTACAGTAGAAATTTTATTTATAGCGCAGTTCTCGTTTTATTTTGCATAGTTTATTAATATATGTTCTTTTTCTTTGTTATTTAGGGTAATTACATTTTATAATGGCGCTTTCCGTGTGGATATTGTGTTCATATTGTTTATGGAGTATTCTTATAATTGGCGTTTTCTCTGTTCTTCCTATGGTCGTGAGTATATTTTTTCCTTGACTTAGAAAGTAGCAATAGGTAGTTTCTTAGAATATTAGGGTGATTGTTTTCATATAAACTTTAAAAAGCTAACTAGGGCGTAGACTGCAGATTGTACTTGTAAGTTGTAATGTAAAGTAACCGAGTACGATTGTGAATGTGTCTATATAATATAGTATATCATCAGTATATGAGTATGATTCGGTATGACCATGAGTCTTACTAATAGTAGGATTACTTTTTAATACTTAGCCCAAACATCGGGATCAGCTTTTTTCTTTCTGGGCTATTGTATTTATTATATATGACTATGAGTCTATGTTGTTTTTCGATTTTTCTGAATCCCGGATGATTCAGGAAACCACCAACACACCACTTTCATATTTAATATATTAAATATATCTTAGTTATTATAACAAAATATATCTATTCAGACTGTTATTAACAAGTATTTAAACTTGATCGTTTCAGCGTATTTCACTTATCTAAACTGAAACTGAAGAAATTCCTGATATTAGGAAGATTGCTATAATATAGTGCAATCCCTGTCTTTGGAAAATAAAGGTTTATTTACAGAAGACGTGGAAAATAATAAAATTTATTGTTACTGAACTGGTATTCACAGAATTAATTTATGCTCAGTATAAGGCCACATTTATTGAGTATAGACACAAACTCATAACTTCATACAAGATTTTATGTATATGTAATTTTGGAATAGACTTTTCAGGCATTTAGCATAGTTTCAACCATTTCTTTAACCTTATGTGCATGGATAAAGGTGAAAATGCTCATGCCATGATCTTTTAATGTAATTGCTTGGGTGGGATGCCTACCAGTTAATACAACTTTTCTTTTGGATCGAGATCTTTCAAAAGTGTTCGTGGAATATACTGTTATTAGGCGCTGATGCTAAATTAGCGCAAACTTATTCGAGTTGCTCATGGGTAGGCTCCAGGGAACTGATTATGAGAAGTTTAAGATTAGATAGAGTTCGGAATTTGACTGCTTGTCAACTTATTTGAACGGAAGCCGAACTTGAAACTTCATCCATTTGTCGCTTAATGTATAACAATATAGTCTCCAAGAAAAACTCCCCTCAAATATGTATATATATATATATATATATTACTTTTAACAGCCACTTAAGCTCTTTCATTTAGAGGCAATACTAAAAAAAATAATCGTTTCTTTTTTCAGTTGGCTTGATTTTTTTAAAGAATTTGAGTTTAGTGGTGTGTTGAGGTTTTTCTTCTTTTATGGATTACTATCTAATTATTTATAAAATATATAAAATTTATTGTATATAGATGGCGTATGCATACGGAAGGGTATAATGGCGCTTTCCGTGTGGATATTGTGTTCATATTGTTTATGGAGTATTCTTATAATTGGCGTTTTCTCTGTTCTTGCTATGGTCGTGAGTATATTTTTTCCTTGACCTAGAAAGTAACAATAGGTAGTTTCTTAGAATATTAGGGTGATTGTTTTCATATAAACTTTAAAAAGCTAACTAGGGCGTAGACTGCAGACTGTACTTGTAAGTTGTAATGTAGAGTAACCGAGTACGATTGTGAATGTGTCTATTTAATATAGTATATCATCAGTATATGAGTATGATTCGATATGACCATGAGTCGTACAGATAGTAGGATTATTTTTTAATACGTAGCACAAACATCGGGATCAGTTTTTTTCTTTTTGGGCTATTGTATTTATTATATATGACTATGAGTCTATGTTGTTTTTCGATTTTTCTGAATCCAGGATGGTTCAAGAAACCACCAACACACTACTTTAATATTTAATATATTAAATATGTCTTAGTTATTACAACAAGATATATCTATTCAGACTGTTACTAACAAGTATTTAAACTTGATCGTTTCAGTGTATTTCACTTATCTAAACTGAAACTGAAGAAATTCCTGATATTAGGAAGATTGCTATAATATAGTGCAATCCCTGTCTTTGGAAAATAAAGGTTTATTTACAGAAGACGTGGAAAATAATAAAATTTATTGTCACTGAACTGGTATTCACAGAATTAATTTATGCTCAGTATAAGGCCACATTTATTGAGTATAGACACAAACTCATAACTTCATACACGATTTTATGTATATGTAATTTTGAAATAGTTTCAACCATTTCTTTAACTCTATGTGCATGGATAAGGGTGAAAGTGCTCATGCCATGATCTTTTACAGAGTTATATTCAATGGAGTATTGTGCATTTAGTGTCAGAGTTAACAACTATTCATTTTACTCTACAATGCTGATTTACTGACAGTTATTGGTACTGAGAAAAACTATAGAGATGCTTTTTTTTTAGTTCTCGAAATTATGCAAACACTACCTGCAAATTATGTGGTGGACATAAGTATTTTTATTCTTCACATGAACATTTTGCATCCTGACTTGGCAGAGTCCAAGTCAGATTGACATTGTCAATTCACAGACATATCTTGTGTACAAATACCTTTGTAACTCATCTAATTTTTGTGTACAGCAGAGTTTTACATTTTACTAAAAGCAGGCGCTGATGCTAGTGGGCTGATGTCATATTTATTCTTTTTTGCAAAATTGGACAATAAAAGTTAATTTGTATTGACTGTATTGTACTGTTTTTCTATTAATTGAACCTGTAGTTATATTTCAAGGGCAAAGTATGGGTAAGATATAAAGAGGTATATTAATTTTATGAATAAACAAAGTAACAATCAATAAAAGTTTTATATATGGTAAAATTTGAAAAATTGTAATGGTATAATCTCCTTAAGGTCTGGCACATAACACCTTGACCAGAATCATATGATAATTATGCTTTTGTAACATCAGTTTCACTATTTTTCAAAAAATCAAATGTCACAAACTTGAATAAATATACATCTCATAAAAAAATTTAGTTAATTTGAAGTAAACCTACTTTGCATAGTCATTTGTATGAACCCAGTTCCTTTGTCTTGTTTGTATTTAACTGTTAGTTTGACATACAGTTTTACAGGAGAATCATCTCCATCAGTATTGTCAACATCAAATGATTCCTGTGCAGTCAATTATTGAAAAAGAATCTCATCTGTTTCAGCCTTATCACTTGATCTACTAGACATGCTAGAATGAATCATCTTTACCATGATCCCCATAATCACTTAAATTTTCATCACCAACAGAATCATTTTTAATTTCATTGTATATTTCTGACTTTCATTTCTTGGCTGCATATTCTACAGACATGTTAGAAGGAAGGATTTGTATAAAAGCTTCTTCTCCTCCTTTTTGGCATAAACTTCTTCAAGGCTGCTTCTAATATTTGTTCCTTTTTATCATATATCTATACAAAATCATCTGGTTTAATCAGCAGAAGGTTCTTCACTTTTGCATGTTTAAACTAAGCTTTTGGTCAGTAAGAATGGTGATTAAACCCTGCTATTACTGGGATTTATGCAAAGCACTATTTGAACTAGCATACAAACATTCTTAAATTCCTTCCTTCAGTATAGAAGCACATGTTCCCAGAGATTCTTAGTTTTTACTCCATTCATGTAGTACTTAACCATTCTCTTGAATTCTTTCCATTCTGAGCTTATCTTAGTTTTTCAAAATTGTTTATTTTTAGAGTCTCATAGAAATGTTCTGCAAGTAAATTTAAACACTCAATTTCCCAGGTGGTATTACCCCAGTTTGCTGGATCTGTCCAAAGCATACTTTGATAAAGTTTACTCTCAAAGAGGAGAATCTTGATTCAAGACAAGCTTACACACATGGAATGACTGTAATTCTCAGTTTAGTTTTCTTAGCATAGTCTACGTTGTTCGTTAGACTATAGTTGACACTACAGTATTGTATTCTGTTTGTCCACAGTTTTCTTAGCATAGTCTACATTGTTCATAGACTATAGTTGACACTACAGTATTGTATTTCCTGTTTTATTTTTGTGGAGCCCTGTTTTAAACAAAGTGCTCTTAAGATTTCAGGAATCTGATTTCATATCCAGTCAAGTTTGAATGTTTTCAAAAGATTTTCACAGTTTGAACTGGAAATTTCTTTCTTAAGTTCCTATAAGTTATCCTTTGCTTTTTGTACAATAGACAGTATCTGACAGCATAAAATGTATTCCTTTTCAAACCATATAGATTGAATAAAACATGCATCCAGTACATCTTTGTGTAAGCAACATTTTGACAGAAAAGTAAAGTACATGAAATTTAGACAATACTACTCTCTCCTTGCAACTGGCAAGGGAATACTCTATTGCTCGAGTAAGAATCACTCAATTACTCAGTAAATGATTTACTTGATGATGTGTACAAGAAATTGTGTACCATGCACTTTGAGAAAATTAAAATTCTGTACATCAAATGTACTGGCAGTTGTCTCAAAGTACATTTTGAACTTTCCAGATCATTTGAATAAGTAATATATAACTGTCATGAAGTCTTTCACATCAACAAATGATTTAGATACACTATCCTTCAGTGCCAATTGAACTGTATGGGAAATGAAGTGAATGCCTAGAAGCCAAAGGCAACTGTCATTTTTTTTTTAGTTTTGTTAGCAATCCATTCTAAACTCCAGTATTAACAGAGGCTCTATCAGTGTAGCTGAAACTAGCAGGTAAGTATATTTCTCTGTTGGGATTGAGATATTTCCATCACCTTTGAATACATCATTAATACTTCTCTTTAGATTACTTGCATCTGCATCATCAAAGCTATCATTAACTTGTAAGGCAACACATAAAAATTTAATTGGTTTACCTTGCTTGACTGACCTAATGAAAGCCATTTCTTTTTTCTTACCTGACTTCCATCACTAAACACTGGAAAAGTTATTTATTGCTGAAAATATAATCACTAATACTTTCTTACAAATTACTTCTAAGTTATACAATAACATTAATAAATTCTTTTGCTCTTTCAGTATCATCAAAATTTGAAATAAGTTGTACTCCATTTTGTTTTTGCACTTCAACTAGAATTTTGAATGCCAATAGAGGCTGTCTATCCACAGCAAGCAAGTAAGCTGTTCTAAGAAGCTTTCTTTATACCTCCTTAGCTTGTGCATGCAGAGCTAAATTTATCTGAGGTTGAAGAGGGATACTGGAAGCAGAAGAACCATTGCTAGCAGTACTATTGGTGCTAGAAAGAGTCTTTTCATTGTCATTAAGCATATTTGTAAAGCTTTAAAAGCATAAATGTATAAATTTTACAAAACATATATTGTAATAAAACATTTTAATAAAAACAGCTAAGCTTGAATTAGTAAAATAAATGGACAGTAGAATCTAGGTAAAAGATAATCCTAGTAATTCATAACACAGAAATTTATCAAAAATGAGGTATCTGTAGGCCTACCAGTTTATAAAAAAAAATAACAAAAAATCAATTAACAGATAATACTGTATTGGTACTTAAATGATAAAGGCCACAAAATAATTTCTCTAATTACCATAGTATATGCTCATTTGACACAAAATCATTAGATAACTAAATCTAAAGTTTACAAATAACTTGAAAATCAATTAAAATGCATATCATCAAGTTAGGTATTGGCCAATAACTTATAAATGCATACAAAGTTGATAACAATTTTAATGTAAAATAAGCCTAATTAACTTGTTAAATGTGTTCAACACACTAACAACAGTTTCCCTCCACTTTGTGTAGATGCTTGCAGTTTGCACACAGACATAGGCCAATATATTTAGGTTTACCATTGAATCAAAGGTGATATTATAATACACTGACTGTAAATTATAGGTTGTTCATGATAAAGGTTGTATGGTTAATGACAAATAAGGAAGGGATATCGATATAAATTTGAGTAATGAATAAAAAAAACAAGATAAGATCTATACATACCTAAAGCAGTTTGTTGTGTTTTTGAATTCAAATGGTGAGTAACAGTGTGGTTTGTTTTGAATTAATGCTGTATATGGGCCAGGCTTTCGTAAGTGCCCAATTTGATGTTGTCAGTGTTCTGAGGCAAATTTCTCTGAGTGCATACCTTACACAAACATATAATAATTTTGGTGCTACTATAGATACTACACAGATATTATCATCATCACCATTTTAAATTTTGTTTATTTGCAATTGGCACCATTTATTATAAATAATGCTTTTAAACTAATAAAATACAAAATAACATTACATAGTGTTTTGGGGGCAAATATAATCAGAATGAAATAAATTACAACAATCAAAATTAGCACAATTATAACCTAAGTTTAACGTATTCTTTTGGAACACACAACTTATTAAATTATCATTATTTGCTGAACAAAAACGTGGATAGATATAAATTATTTAGCAAGAAATTATGTTTTAGTGAATCATTAAAACTGTGATGATGATAGTATCTTTGTAGATTGCATAGTATAGTAGC